ATTTATTAAATATACATAATCAATTAAGATAATAAATTAATAAAATATTTAAATGAGAAATCAAATTAAATATTAATTTTTTATTTAAGCAAGTGATTAAATAAATAATTAAATAAAGAAATTAAATATTAAATAAATAATATAAATAATCGATTAAGATAATTAATTAATGAAATATTTAAACAAGAAAGTAAATTTAATATTAATTTTTTTAATTTGAATAATTGTTTAAAATAAATAATTAAATATAAAGTGAAAAGTGTTTGATTTTTTAATTTGTAAGTTAAGAGTATTTTTGTCTTTTGAAACAAAATTCTATTTTTATAATTATATAAACTACTTAAGGGTATTTTTGTCTTTTACTCAATAATAGGCTATTTTGGTGATAGGCAAATTCTTTTTGGTTAAAGTGAGAAATTGGCCCTTTGACTTGGCCAAACTAAAAATTACCCCTTAGGAAGTGGGGGATGATGGAGATGGTGGTGAGAGACGAACCGATGACGCCGACAGTGCTGGAGAGTGGTGTCGTCGGCGTCGGTGAACGGTAGACGAGTCGACGTCGTGGAAGAAGACTCGGGTTTGTGGATAGTGAGATGTGGGCCGGTTGGAGTTTGTATATAATGGGCTAGGGGTGATATGGGTTTGATCGGGTGTATGGATTACGAGTTAGTGGGTTACTTAGGTTTGGGCTGTGTTCAATATGGCCTGAGTTTAGACTGAAAATTATGTTGGACTGGAATATATGTTGGGCTAGAATATATGGAATTAAAAAAAAAAATGGGTTAGGGCTTGAAACAGCAACTTTAATGCAAAAGGAAGCAGCAAATCAATCAAATTGAATGGCAGAATTTTTTTATTTATTATTATTATTTTTTTAATACTACAGGAAGAAGATCAAAATTTTGGAATCCAGGTGTGAACAGTAACACGATTTTTTTTTCAACTAAGTCTGAAAATTGAAGAATAAAATTGCTGTGTTTACCAAAATCCTTTTAATTTGTGCTGTTCCAACAGATTTATGGGAAGAAGATACAAAGAAATTGTGGGTTGAGGATGAGAAATTACCAAGATTCGACTCTGATACCAAATTTGATGCAGCACCAACATGACAGTTAATTGGAAAATTAGAATAGATCTATGGGAAGGGAAAATTAGAGAGAAGAAGGGAAGGGGATTCAACAGAAGGGAAGAAAGAAACAGGAAGAGAGAAAAATGCCATAAGCCACCAAATAATATTCATTCATCATCAACTGAAAATTATAATGTAAAATAGGTTTAAATAGTTAAGCAACCCTAACGAGCTTGGACCTGAGCTCATACAAGTCCAAATCTTAAATAATAGTCCAAAAGATAAATAAAGCATAAATAAAGTTTAAATAAAATAAGTAACGTCCGATGTCCTCATCATATAGTCTAATGAGTAAGAAGATTTTAGATAATAATAAAAGAACATATTTTAATAGAATTCTCGTGTGAAGACAAGCATAATTAGGAAACAACAATAATAGGAACTTTTACCAAAATAATGAACCACAGTTGGCAAAACCGGTTGCCTATTTAAAATTAAAATAGAAAGATATAGATTTATTTGTCGAGGATGTGCATCAACATATACAAAGTAAAAAGGAGCATATGAAACTAAGTTTGCAAATTGAAGTAATCGAAAGACCTAGTATATTTTACCTCAAGGCTCGTAGAGCCTTTAGTACGCAAAGGTTCATTACTCACTCCTGTTCAGTTTTATCTACTCACAAGAAATCATAAATAATCACAATGGCATCTCTACACGATTCGAAAAATTTAATCACAAGAAATCATAAATAATTATTCAGTTTTATTTGCAACTGTTCATTAGTCAATGGTAATTAGCACCATGCTGCTTTTTTAATAACCAGAGCAGAATGACCACAAGGTATCCTAAAACGCTTCTCCTAGAATATTAGAATGCAAAGGGAAAAGGTCAGCACAACATTTTTTTCTTCCATAAAAGGAAAATTTATTGAAATGGAGATCCTAAAGTAAAAGATACAGCTGACATGTATAAATGAAAACAACACACCATTTTGCAAAACGTGCCCCTTGCATAGTATTGAGCAGATCTAGAAGCCAATGTATCTAACGCCTAGCACCAAGATTCATTTTTGGACCCTAGTGGTGAAACTAACTGTGTAAATAATAATAATAATAATAATAATAATAATAATAATAATAATAATAATAATAATAATAATAATAATAAATAAACTGAGATATGATATAAAACATATTTTGAAAAGAAATTCAAATAATCCAATACATCAATAAATCATGCATGAACACAGTTAACCCCAAACTGAACGCTTTAGTTTGACTTGGTGATGAACAAAAAATGGCAGAAGAAAGTATTCACAAAAAGTTTGCAACGTTATAAAATGATACAATTGAATTTGAAATATAACTCCTTGACCTAGTGAACAGCATATTTGATGACAAATCAACAAAGTCAAACCATAACATTAAATTCAATAAATGAAAAGGTACATAAATATATAGGTGCATGCATTTAAACAATATGTATTTGCTCCCCTTAAACTCTACTGGCTATTCCAGCTGTAGGCCATCAAATTGAGATTATAATAGTACATAGGCAAGGTAAAACTTTGAAAGCTGGCCCAAATTATTTTGTTTAGAAATAAGAAGATATTAATTAGATGACAATGTATAAATATTACAAGCAAGTGTAAGTTGGAATGTTGTAGGATGCACCTCGAAATGCAATAACATGTATAAGAAAAGTGCATTATCCAAAGACTCGGAATTATTCCAAATATCCCAATATTAGATACATGAATAGGAATAATATGATACGTTAAGCAAAGAAATGAAAAAGGCCTCGTGAACTGAATATCTTATTCCACAATAAAACATTTCCAGAGTCATGCACCAAGAAATGATAAGAAAGAAGAATGCTAATAATATTAGCATACTATAAAGTAATAAACACACTTCTACACTGTCAATAGGACATGTCTGTTGAAACAAACATCGTTAACAAGACTTTCTAGTATTTAACTTAAGTGAATGAAAGAAATTCTTGAAATACAAAAAATACAAGTCTGCAAAATCAATCGATGTGATGAAAACTCAAAGTTACAGTTGATATGAATATACATATTACAATAAAAGGTTATAGGAAAATATGGAAAAATTGTTTAACAAAACAAGAAAACTATTTGTAGCAAAACAAGTATACCTAGTCTGAATGCTAAACATTTGATTAATTTAAATAAACATAAGGAAATCAGAAAAAGAGTGGGGAATTGATACAAACCTTTGATAAAGCCAATATTTAGAAGGCCGCTAAAGTAAGAGAAGAATTGTATGAAGTTCCACAAAGAAGCCTAAAACCCATTTGGGGGTCAATGTCTTATTTTTCAGATCTTTCTAACGTATTTATGAATGAAAGAATTTCTCTGTAGACAAAATTTTGGTACATGTTTTGTGTAAATTTTCTACATTTGATAGATGTGCTTGTTTTTACTCTTGATAATGCTACATAAAGCGACCGTGATAGAAAACTGGCTCTGGAAGATACAAACCCACAAAATCAAGTGTTTGACCCTGCGCTTTGTTTATCGTCATTGCAAAGCACGGTCTGATTGGAAATTGAGTTCTTTTGAATTGAATTGAGTTTCGGTCGTTTTTCAGAGGTATAAAAGAGATTCTTGGCAAAAAAACATATTTTTCACAATACTCGCCAGTTGTGATTTCAGCAAAAATTACGTTCTTTTGAAACTTTCGACAAGTAAGGCGTGTCCCATTGCATAACCCTTCAGAAGGATTGATATTTCGCAATAACATGACATGACAATTTACCTTAAGTTTCAATTCATGCGGTGGAATACCATTTGGGGTTAGACTATTCAAAAAATCTTATCACAAGCTTTGTTCTAATTTATCAATTGCTTCATTAAAACTATAATATGTGAACATTTCACTTGGAATCTGTTCTAGCAAAATTCGGTTAATATGATCAACACCTTCATTTGTAGGCGTAAGAATAACTCGATTTATCATTGCATGGAGCTTATCATCATATGCTTCTATATCTGGAAAAACATGATGTATCAAATTTTTTAAAGATGTAATTTCATCTTCAAATGGCAAAACTATATTATTTGGAAGTTAAACGCATTTACAACTATGTTCTTTCTCTGTTCCATCTCCAATTCTTAGAAAGTAATCACAAAATGTGGTATCCAACTTTGCCCTCATATTCTTGATCAATGGTAGATGCAAATACAAAGGTCATAAGTTTGAGAAAACTAAGTTAGCTTTCATTATGTCGTTTTTTCCCTTTTGGCACCACTGGTAGAATTTGACGAAAATCTCCTCCAAAAACTATTACTTTTCCACCAAAAAGCAAGTTACAATCGGTAATATCTCTAAGCATCTTATCTACAGATTCAACAGCAAAATGATTTACCATCGGCGCTTCATCCCAAATGATCAACCTAGGCATTTTCAACAAATTTCCTAAAGTCGATTGCTTGCTAACAGAACAGCTTATTTCAGCAACTGTTTCCAAATGAATTTTAAATCTTGAATAAGCCGTTCGGCCTCCAGGTAAAAGAGATGCAGATACTCCAGATGATGTAATTGCCACAGCAATTAAATTTTGTGACCTTACACCAGTTAGGAACGCTTTATATACAAATGTTTTTCCTGTCCCACCTAGACCGTCAATGAAGAAAGCACCACTCGATTCTGATTTTACTTTTTCCATAATTATATCGTATGCAAACTGTTGTTCTTTATTTAATGTTGTAGCACAAGCAAGACGCCCTTCAATATCAAAATTAGTTGTCTCCTCTTCAACCATTCTTCTCAACCTTTCAGTTTCATCTATATTTACATTGAATGGCACCATGGCATAATCATTTATGTTCTTACCTAATGATTCCAAAATAGAACTAATGTCTTCTAAAGCTCGTAGTTCCGCAATCTCCTTAGGTACATTTTGATGTACATAGTCGTCAAACATATAAACCTTAAACTTATCCCACAAGAACTTTGGATGCTTAGGATTGCAAAGCGTAAGAAGTGATGTAAAGAGACGTCTTAAAGAAGCAGACATTTTGTAAACAATAGCTTAATAAACCATGTAAAAGTGCTGCTTCTCGATATATAGCAACAGTTATCCCATTCAACGTTCGTAAATCACGAAATGATACTGGTCCTCTAATATGATTAAGGAGAATGCGAAGGAAATATCGTTCTCCTTCAGAAGGATTAGCTGTTAAAATTCGTCCTATAATAATTTGTTTCTTTCTGGGAGTCCAAATTTTGTTATTTGCATTCCAAACAAAATATTTTGGGAAATCTCGATACAACAATGTACGAGCAAACTCATTTTCTTCATTCATTCGAAAGAATTCAGTTAACATAGTTCTTCTCGTATTTTCTTTTTTAACAATAGTAGATAAGTCATCATGATCAGTGTATGTTATTTGTTGATGATCCTGAATATGAAGCTGTAAAGAATAAACATATGGATAAATATCTGACAAATTGAAAGAAAAAATTCTCCACGTAGCCTCAAGCGGAGATATCCATCTAGCAGATTGATAAGCAGAAATTTTATCGATTTCCTCATTTGTTTCATTCATGTCAACGGAGAAATTAATACGATCATGTCCTTTGTATACATTTATACAAATATTTTACAGCTTTGATAGAAGAACATACTTCAACATTGATATGACAATCAAATTTTGCACTTAAATAAGGATTTATGGTATGACCTATAAATTGTCTCACATTTGACCCCTACCTATAACAAAAATACCATTATTACGTCGCATATACAATGGATATGAGTTATCACCAAATATAGTAGTATTACTATGATCCTCGAGTATTTATTTTTACAACCTTTATTTGTCTCCATACATACATTTTTAGGATTCAAATTTCCACAAGGGTCATGCATATTATGTTTAACAATAACTGAATAAAGATGGGGGTGTTTTTGTTTGTTAGAAATTTCACAAGACACTATCTTATCAACCTCTTCAGCACAACAAATTTTGTAGCCGCATTTAAAAATCAACAATAGATGTGCATGAGAAAGCCCTCTTTTTTGAAATTCAATAATATATATATGAGCAACAACGAGGCCAAATATATTTTCCTTATATAAATCATTTTTCAATTCTTCTAATTTTGCTCTAAATATATGCGCGATTAGATCTGGTCGATTCTGAACCTCATCATTGTGTCTTAGTTCTCCCTTGATTTCTGGCCAATTTGGATTACATGTTACAGTTAAAAATACATATGATTTTTCATAACATTGTACAATAGTCATTGCATCCATATATCTCTTTAGTAGATCTCTAGGACCACATGCAAAAGATTGTGGTAAAACAAAATTCCTTCCAATTTTGTACCCCTTTGTCTCTCCATTTTGAACATTATCTACAATGCCTTGATAAAGTTCAGCACGATTTTTTTTGTTATTACGAAAATAATATAATCTAGCAGTTTCAATCTTAACATATATATCTACAACATATTGTTGAAATAGTCTACCAGTGTGAAGTAACACAAACGTACCAGAAAGTCTGATTTGTAATTTGTATGAATAGTATTCTTGGCAAGAAACCTGAGACCATTTTTTCGTTCTATTGAGCACTGCATGATGTAACAAAGAAACAATTTCAATATTCATTTGCAACATTCACATTATAGAAGGTATAAAATTTACTAAAATGTGCATTCACTAACCTGTATCCTCTTTTTCAAGAATTTCAGCTGCAAAATTAATTGTGCTGGAAAAAGCAACAGAGCTAGGCAAATGTTGAGGCTGAAAGTATGTGCTTCTACATCTCTCAATAGCCGACCAGATTCACCATATGGAAAAATCAAAGAATATTGCAAAGGATCATAACAACCATAGTATTAGTGAACCCAGTGTGAAACACCAGAATGACAATATATAGTAATATCACGAGTGTGAACATTTGCATTTTCATCATCTTCGATCCATACAACAGCTACTTGAGATGCTGTAGGAGTATTAAAAACTCTTTGATCAACTCCTGGATCACATCTTATATGTATTCGATGGTCATGTAAATTAGTCATATCACTTAAAGGCCTAAAGAATCTACTATATGGATTTACTTTAAGGATTTCAATTAAAGTAATTAAAGTAAATTCAATGAAGGTCTCTGAAATTTTCATACAATTTTGAAGCTCATTATCTGTATCGTAAAAATATAATTACATATAAGAAGGCGTATTATTTTCAGGCATAAGTTAATTTATATAATGATATACTTGTCCCTAAATCCTAAATGTGTAAATATCTCTATATGTTTTCAAAAGTTTTTTGTCGTGCTTTACACCAAACGATGTGAACGCAAAATGGTTATTATATCCTTTTGCATTTTTTTTTAATTCCATATATATTGGATCTTTAGAAGTAAACAAGCCGTACGACTCAATTGGTAGTTCTGGCATAAAGAGCTTAACTTTTCCATCAGAACAACAAAAACCTTTACTTTCTCTATAAAATTTTCGTGCACCACAATGCTTACAGTCAATGCATGTTGGTAATATATATGCAGTACTTGGTATAATCAATATCTTAGAACTTTCTTCTACTTCAGAATTAGAAATATAAGTTGTTTCTTGGTTTGAAGTAGAAGCTTCAAAACGATCATTTATAGTAGATTCTTGCATTTAGACAACACTCGAATTATTATCTCCACATAACATACGGTCAGTTATCCTCCTGCGATGATCAATGCACCCGATTTTAACTCGATTTCGCCCCTTTCTCTTTGATTATGTTGTTGGCGAATGAAGGCACGGTATGACTCATTTGTACTCTCAGAAATAATTTGAGGGTTAATTATATCAGGCTCTCCATCAGCACATGTTTCGAAAATATCCATCAGAACACTAAGACAACTTGTTGAACAATTAGAATCCAACTTTAGCAACAGGAACTAAAAATACTGAAAAAAAAATACCACGTGTTAAATTATATATAAGCTAAAACTGAACTTTACAAAATAAAAAATGATCTAAACCATGACTAAAAATTTACTTTACAGGGCTCCTAAATGTTTATTATAAATGTGAAATGTCATTTTGGCTATCTTCATAATACTATAAATAGGATCAGAAATTACGCTCATTGCATGAGGAGGACTATTTTTACTGACTAAAAATAAAACATTCGATGAAAAAAAAGAAGAAGAAAAAAAGGCTAATCAATATAATCTATGAAGAAATAAGACTGAATTTTTTCAACGGCAAAATAAATCATAAAATGCAAAGAAAACCTAAGAATGTTATAATTGACCTCTTATATTGGACTCTCATAAATTGCACAGAATCTTGGGAAAATTTATTAGCGTCTGCAAGCCTATTTTTCATCTTACGAAGAAACCAACTAAAGGGAGGATTCATACAGTGCACAAACAAAGCATAACAACTAATAACCTTGTTAGAAATTTAAAAACACAACTTACTATAACAAGTGATCAAAATAAACCTACTATTCAAACCTATGAAGAATCAATTAGAAGAAAAAAATTATTTAGAAAAAGTTACCTAAGAAAGACCGTATTACCACGGTTCAAAAAAATACAATTGTCTGGAAGAAAAAAAAAAAAAAAATTTAAAAAGTTACACGACAAAGACTATACTGCTACAGTCGTAAATTTCACCAACCATCAGTTGCCATAGAATCCCTTTTTTCCACCTATCTCTGTCGCTTGCGAGCACCCGAAATTTCTGAAGATTAACGTGGTCATGTTGAATTTAACGATTACATATTTATTTATGTTTAATTTGATATCTCTATTTCCTTTTATTAGTTTGATTTTGGTGGTTCATGTGGCCCGTTCTCTGCAATTTGTTTTTGTCGTCCCTAATCTACCTCTCATTGGTTCTTGTTCATTTTCTGCCAATTTCATCCTGCGAAGTCTACTGGCTCGGTGAAAAGATAAGATTTTCTGGTTTTAGACCACAAATCATATAAATCTAACTTCCTCTGATAATTTTCAGCTAGATCTTCCGTGGAAATTGTTCGTTGTTGATGTCCTAAGTTCTAGTCTACCAAGGTTTCTGCTTTTAGAACACATCTGAAGACTTATGGCTTCACCTATGGATCATGAGCCAACGTTCATTTTAAGAGACAAGTTAATCTTTTTGCAAGTGAGTATTGGTACTAATTTTACGGGGCATCTAATTCTTCTTTTACGTTTTTTTTCCCATGTGGCATCATAAAGTAATTTCTCAAATTAATTGAGTTCCTTTTCCAATTACGCCATAAATAATTCAATGGTGTTATGTACGTAAATTAACTGTGTGTGTGTGTGTTTTGTGCTTGCTTATGAGACTATTTGTAATGCTTTTCAACATCCCACGATGCTTCCACTATATATTCAAACTCTTTTCCATTATCCTTATCTCTCAGTCTCTCAACACTTCTAATCTTCAATTATATCTTCCATTAGTATTGTCTCTGTAAGTGTTATGCCCTAAATTCGGATTATATATTTAATGCATTTGATTTTGGCGAGATCTATTATTTATTTAAATTAATTTTGTAATAAATAATATTAAATAATAGAATCCGAAGACCCAATTTTTAGGTAATCTATTAATCACAAGGAATTGTAATTGTGAGATACAAATTACATATAATTGGATCTTGAATAAACCATGGTCGTAAGTAATAACGAGATACGGATATCGTTAATACAATTAGACCATCACGTGTGGCATTTCTTACTTATGAAGTAAGTAGCTGATCTCACGAGCTAAAGTGTGGTGACACTTAAATGAACATGTGGATGTTTTGTTGTAGAACAAAACATTGGAGACCCGCTAAAAGATTCCACATGGATAACTATCTGAGTGTCAGTGGCTAATCTCTAACGTTCGGTAGTGGAATTGATCCTTTGACTTGAGGTCGTCATAGTACCCTATATGAGGACAGTCATACTTTGGCGGTGTTGGATGTTGCTCTGAAAGGGGCCGCTAATACGACATCGTTCGGGTACGTCAAGAATCGCATGAAGGTTGTGATTGATCAATAAAGGATTCGTCACTCTT